ACCATCCTAGTCCCCCTTAAAATGCTCCAAAGATGGATACAATGTAGGAGGGGCAGAAGGCATTATCCTAGCCTCCCTGTTCTTACTTTCCCCCCCTTTCTGGTCTTTATACGTCCGATAGAGTTCATTGGTAGGCAATCCAGCAATCTTTTCCTTTTCCAGCCCTGCCCAAAGAAGGGCAGTAAATAAGTCCTTTCTAGACATTCAGTCATTTCCTCGTGTGTCACTTTGCATTTGATTACTGCTCTAGTTCCAGCCTGACTTCCTCTCTTGACAGTCCCTAGTCTCCTAATTGAGATATTTCATCTAAAACTTCAGACAAAGGTTTCCCTGACTCGCTTAAAAGCAGAGTCATAATTAAATTCTTGTATGCAGGTGGTGCTGTCTTAACTAAAGTATTTCTTTGGGGTGCCAACACTAGGTAGAGATAATAGGAATCTACCTCTCTGAGCATTATGGCAGTTTTCATCACCTCCTCCTGTAATTTTTGTATCCCATCTTCTAAGGAATACCATGGTTGATCCCCATGAGGCCACACGGAGTCAGCAGGGTATTGTTTTTGGCATCCCTCTGCCACCAGTGCCAATAAAGTGGTATCATTATTACCAGCAACATGGGCAGTAGTGGTATGCTCTTTAATAGCCTGTTGGATGAAAGAGTTGGTGCTCAGGGATACAAACTTCATACAATCTACAATATCTATCCAAATCCCTCCAGTTCCACTATCACCGATTCCATCCTTGATTCTCCTCCTTTTGTCTCCTGATAGTATTTCCCCTCATGTTCTTTCCAAGCTTCTTTATCTAAAGTAATCTCCTCATCAGTATCATCCCCATGTATCTCCATCCCATCTGTCTGAGTCGCAGTCTGCAGTAGCAGTGGCAATAACTACATGCACTTTCTTTTTATTAATTTTCCCCTTCCTTTTCTTATACTTAAATTGTGCTACTCTAACTGCAGCTTTTTCAGTCACACTTTGGTCATTTCTCATTTGGTCTCCTAATAGAAAGTTCTGACACTGAAGCATAGACATTTTACTCTGTAATTCAGCTAATTCCTTTTCTAGGACCACTTTATCCTCAACAGCTTTATTTCTTAGTTCGTGCATTTTTCGATACTCAGTCAGCAAAGTCCACCCTCTTCCACACACTCCCACCATCTCTTTGCTTTTCTCAATAGGAATTTCTGTAAACAATTTGTCACTTGTAAAGGTTCTGCTTGTTTAACCCGGCTACCCCAATCCTTGCAGGGGCCTGTCCCATTAGCCCATTTTTTAGCCAGGGAGACATAAGATAAATCTTCCCAAATGGGATTGTCCTGATCTTTACCCTTAGTCCTAGTATTTCTCTTTAGGGATGGCATATTGTACAGCAAATCTTGTTTGTGACGTCAGTTTGTGTGATTAAGGAAGAAAAATGTGGTTCGGATTCACTCCTACAATAAGACACGCTCCTAGAGACAGAAGTGAAGGTAGCTTTAATTAAGATTATAATATAGGTATAGAAAAGCTAGATTTACAGCAACATACAATTAGCAATACGACTATAGTCAGGCTAAGAATACAAAGGATAGCAATAATATAAGAAAACATCACCAATTCGGGGAAGCACCAACACCTGAAGTCCAAGCTGGGGATTCCCAGGTACAGCTTTCAGGATCCCAATTGGGAAAGTCCCAGGCAGAGCATCCTCTCCATGGGTGAGAATCCAAAGATGGCTTTCCCAATAGACCCCGTGCCAGAGGCGTGCATGATTCTCGTAGAAGTTTTTACGTGGTCCAGGAACTAGCCAAGTTCCTAGAGCGAGCAAAACATCTTAGAATATTAATTAACTTGATATGTTCTGATGAACTAGCCAGGTTCCCAGAGCACATCTTTTCCTGAGAACTGACTTAATTCTCAGATCAACATAGATAACCACACTCTGGCTTATAGCCCAATGTTTAGAGTCATACAGGGGACGTGGAAGATCTTTCCTTATAAGATTTATCAATCACTTGCTATGATAATAGGAACTTAGGAAGAGGGGGAGGCTTCAGGAGGAAAGATAATGAGTTCAATTTGGAAATGTTGAATTTAGGACATCTGAAAAACAATAGGAGATGGGAGATTGGAGGTCAGCAGAGAGATTGGGGTAGAATAGGTAGATTTGAGAATCATCAGCATAAAGATAGTAATTAAACCCATTGGAGGTGATGAGATCACCAAGTATAGGGAAGCTGCCCTCACAGAACTCTCTTGGACACCTACAGTTAAAGGGCATTTTCTGGATGAGGATCCTTTGAAGGAGACTGAGGAGCACAGTTTGACCTCAATAAGTCAAAAACTAATAATTAGCCTTCAATGTTTTCCTTATATTTCTTCTGAATCTTTTATATTAGTTTTTTCATTGAGTTCCAGTCTTTTTGTCACAAATACCTGAAAGTCTTTCAGTTCGTCAAATGTTCATATTTTTTGTTCAAGATTATTCTCAACTTTGCTGGGTAATTTATTCTTGGTCACAACCCCAGCTCTTTTGCTCTTTGAAATATAATTTTCAAAAACTCATGATCTTTTAATGTAGAAGCTGCTAGGTCTTGTGAAATCCTGATTGTATCTCCATGGTATCTAAATTGTATTTTTTTCTTGTTGCTCACAATATTATCTCCTTAACCTGGGAGTTTTGAAACTTGGCTATGACATTCTTGTGAGTTTTCCTCCTGGGATCTCTTTCAGGTGGTAAACAGTACACTTTTTTTCTTTTTCTACTTGACCCTCTTGTTCTAAAACTTCCATGGAACTGCCCTTAGGGAAGCAGAGTAGTCATCAAAGAACTTTCAGCTCATCTAACCCAGTATGAGGATCAGATGGCTGATTGGGGGATGATAGAAGGACCTCTCTCACCCTGCTGTTTCCAGACACTAGGTCTAGTGGTGCTGACCAGAGATGATCCTGTGCTGTGACCGTGGGAAAGGAGGAGTGAGCTCACAACAAGTGAGTGTGGTTCCAGTAAAGCAGGAAGCAAGAGCATTTTCAGGACAGTGGGGCTCAGGGCCCTATCAATTTGGAACTAGGCCCTGAAAGACAGTAAGCTGTGCATAGCCTTTGACCCAATTGTACCACTACTAGGCCCATATCCCAAAAACATTAAAGAAATAGGGAAAAAAGAGAATATATATATATAATTGTATTTATAGCGTCTCATTTTGTGTGAGAAAAGAACAGGAAATTAAGGGGATACCTGCCAACTGGAAAATAGATGAACAAATTATGGTATATGAATGTAACAGAATACTGTTATGCCTTAAGAAGTGATGAAAGTATTGCTTTCAGTCAACCTGGAAAATCTTGTAAGAACTGATGCAGAGTGACCTGTGACTCTTTGCCAAATTCATGTCACCTCACTAGACCTCTGTTTCCCTAAACACCATCTATAAAATAAGAGGAATGGGCTAGTTGATTGATTTCTAAAGTCTCTTCTTTGGTGCCATCAAGGAGCTAAACATGGACTAGGGGAACACGACAGAATGACTAGAAACAAGTGTTACAAAATGATTTTAGATAAAGATGCTCTCCTGTCTTTTCAGCACAAAGGGGCAGGCCTTTTTCAGGACTTGTTGGAAACACCAATGCTTTTGCATCGCTTAAATGATTCAGTGCCTCATCTGAATCTTGAAGAAGGGAGAACACGGAGAAAGGAGCGTATGTGGATACAAGGCCGGTAGAACATGACGAGGGAGGACTCACTGAGGAGCCCTGAACTCCCTAGATCAAGGGAGTGTAGGGGAGAGTTTCAAACTTGAGTCATAAGACATGGATTTAAGGTTTGGTGCTGAGAGCCATAGCTCCTTTCTGGACCTCACTTTTCTCATCTGTGAAGTGGGAACAACAATATTTGTACCAAGTACCTTACAGGTTTGTGATGAGGGAAGTACTTTGTTGCTACAGAAATGTGCTACTATTAGACCATAGAAATATAAGGCATTTTAGATTTAGATCTGGCAGGAAACATGCATCATAGGCATCAGTTGGAACCACCTAATTTTAAATGAGCCCCCAGAAGTTCAGTAATTTGCCCAAGTTCACCCAGTTAATAAGTGGCAGTGCCATTACTTGAGGTCAGGTTCCCCTGACATCAAACCTTATGACTTTCCACTATAGCACCTAGAATAGGGTGACCACCCTGGATCATTCTCAGTGAAGTAAATTGAAGCACATACTATGTGGGTGGATAGGTCACAATCTGGCTGCTGGTGCAGAACCCTGGTGAAGTGAACCCTTCTGAACTGAAGACCTCTGGGAACATCAGCTGGCTTACTGCTTGCTTTGATATGAAGCTCAAGTCTCTCTTTACAGCTTCTATTCCTCTGCTCTGATTGATATCCCATTTCTAAACTCCTGAACTTCTTAACCCACTCCACAGGGACAGATTCAATCCTTTATGATTAACCTGTGGCCTCTCACAGTGTAGAGCCTGGGCAAAACAGACCAAAAATGATCTCACCGCCAAGGGAGAAAGAGCAAGATGAAGGGAAAGGAAACAGTGCCGGCACCAATCACACACTAGGTTCCAAATACCTTATGTGCTAAATACTTAACAATTATCAACTCCTTTGATCCTCTCACAACAACCCTGAGGGATAGACGCTATGATTATCTGCATTTTACAGATAAAGAAACTGAAGCAAATGGAGATGAAGTGACCAGCCGAGGGTCATATAGCCAGTAGATGTCTGAGGCTGGATTTTAACCCAGGTCCTCCTAATTCCAGGTCCTACCTTCTGCCCAAGGTATTACCTCACTGCTATCACCTTGTCAGCAGTTAAGCTGCCAGCAGAGTAGGATGCATATATGTGTTGAAGTATATACCTGAGGCATTTAAGGAATAAAAAATGACTTCTAACCCATTGGTGGTGGATAATTGCACACAAGTTTAGGTTAAAGGCTCTGCTAACAAGAAGTTTAAGATCTAGCGAGGAACACAAGACAGGATCCACAAACATGTCTGAAAGAATACACAACATAAGATGGGTATATAATTCAGTCTTACATTGTGAATTACAGATTATAAGTGCTAAAGAGTTCACAGGGATATGGCATCTAAATTGTGATGTGAAGTGTGGGGAGGATTACAATTAGTGCAGTTGAAGAGAAGAAATATTATAGGAACAGGGAATTTCTGGGGAACATGGAATTGGGGAAAACTAAGGAATGGTTTTGGTAAAAGTCAAAGAGAGTATTAGATTATTCTAGAAAGGTATATTGGACTGAGATCATAGAGGGCTTTCATTGTCAGGCAATGGAATAAATACAGCTTGTCCATGGCACATGAGGAAACTGTAGAGTACTTAGAACTATGGATGGTCCTTCACATGCTTTAGGAAGGTAGAAAATAGAGCTCAAAGGAGGGGGGCAGTTTGGCTAACCCACTGGCAGTTGGGGTGGTGTCAATATCTTTTGGGTCAATAGGAGATTTCAAGGTAAAATTCTGTAAGATGGTAGTAAAAAACAAAAATAATTCCATTCGAGCCAGGCCCTCACCAGCACATATCCGTTTTCCTGAAAGAGACAAATACTAGGATTAGATATTCGTAGACTTCTAACTCATTTAGACCACTTTTTCAGACTTATAGGTGGCCCACTAACACCCAGGGGCATTAGATTAAAGACTGTATACATTCCTTTCCTCTCTGGTCCTTGACTCCTTTGAAAACCCAGTTCCCCCTCAACAGAGAGGAAGACCCTTCCTGCATACTCTAAGTCAATCCCCCTGAACCAGAGCAAGTCCTGGGATTTATATTCAGAACAAAGGAGTCATCACTTTAGGGAGAAAACAATCACTCATTTATAGTCTCAAGAACTAAGCTTATGTCTACCCAGAGAGATTGCACTGAGGAAAGGTGACAGAAGAATGATCAAAGCTCCCTTTGGGAAACTCTTGTCACCATTCTGGACAGCAAACACCTCTGGAGTCTACCCTACAACTTCATGGCCATCCAGCCCCTTGTCTTAACTACTCATTCCTAGCCCTAACCCAAGTATTAGAACCAATTGAACAGGGCATGGAGTTGAAGACCACAATGTCGGGGAGAGTTAACTGTCTGACAATATTCATGTCTACCAAAACCAGATTTGGCTATCACCACCATTATCTGAAAACGAATAGGTTCCCCTAAGAATTGAAGGGGAAAGGACAAGTCAGACCATCATCTATTTAATTTTGTACCAGTTGATCCCTATTAAAATGTACATAACTAGGAAAGGGAGTTCCATATTCACGTGTCTTAGTCAAGAGTCACATTTCTATAAAATCATAAATTCTAAGATTACACCTTTGATGATGTTAGCCATAATGGTACCTGAGTAATGACCTTTAGCATTACCTAATCCCCTTTCTTTGCTTGATAAAGTACAAGATTGTACCCTGCTAACATCAAATCCTGGAAGAGATTATCTGAGAAGTAGTTGAGGTTGAGTGGGAGGATAGTTTTTAACCTGAGGGGTGAAGGAGACTTTAGTTGTGGATCTAGATGCAGAACAGAGTGGCCACTATCTCAGTTCTATCTCTTTTTTGGAATAAGCTCAGAAAACTACCCTAAAACCCAACTGATTTAGTTGATGAATCATGACCTAAAGAGAATTAGAAGAATGATTTACTATAAGGGGCAGCTAGGTGGCGCAGTCGATAGAGCTCTGGCCTTAGAGTCAGGAGGACCTGAGCTCAAATCCAGCCTCACCTCAAACACTTGACACTTACTAGCTCTGTGACCCTGGTCAAGTCACTTAATCCCGATTACCTCACTAAAAAGAAAAAAAAGAATGATGTACTATGTCTCCATGCTACTTTCTGGTTTTAGAACTTGATAGGACCATAATGGTCACCTAATCCAACTCAATCTTTTGGCGTATCAGTAAACTGAAGTCCAGAGAAATGAAATAATTTGACCAACGTCACACAGGTAATAAGTAGCAAAGCTGGATCAAAACACAGGTCCTCAAGTTATCAACCCATCTTTGGTGCACATATTTAGATGAATGTCTTACCTGCTGAAAAAGGCATGAAATAGTCGCTCTTCTTGAAGTTGCCACTTTCATCTAGGAAGTGACCTGGGTCAAACTGGTCTGGATTGGGGAACTCTTCATCATCATACAGAACAGAAGACAATACTGGTACTATGGTGGTACCCTGAAATAAGCAGATACAAACAAATAATTAGAAAATAAGAACCATAGAATGTCACAACTGCAAAAGATCTTAGAATTATCATCTAGTTAAAACCCCTCATACTGAAGTATGAAAAGAGCCAACATTTTTTTAAATGCCTGTGCTGATAGTAAATTAAAAAACCTGTAATACTATTGGGAGAGATGAAACCAAATTTTAACACTTTGAGGGGCAGAACCAGCACCAATGATTAAAGGACACAATGAGGCAGATTCCAGGTCAAAAGTTAATAAAATAACTTTTGACCATTAGATCTATCAAAGAAGGAAAATATTGCCTGAGTAAATAATAAGCACACTAATTTCAAGCAGATGCCAGATGATCTGAAGAGGTAGAAATGAATTCTGACCTCTGGCAGGATATTGAAGAATAGAAGAATGTCACACAGAAGAATGAGGCAAGAACTGATAAACAAATTGGGAGCTCTTCTTGAAGATGAAGAAATTGGATGCTCTGGGTAAGAAGCACTTGCTTGTACTCTCAAGAAAGGTAAAGTAGGTTCATGGGTATTATTTGGTAAGATATCCATGAATAAGAGAAGACTCCCTATAGAAGGGACTCCCTATAGAAGGACTCTGAAACAGTTGTTTGCTGACAATGACAACAATAGACAGGTCTGCCATATTCTCATAGCACATATCAAAGACATAATGGAGAACCTTCCAAGACCTGTCAAAGGGGATGAATACTAACCACTTCTGATGATTCACAGGGGCAAAAATAATACTTCTATAATGAACATGGAAGCATTTCCAAAGGTTTTGACATTCAGGACAAAAAAAACCACCTAAAAACGTTAAGAGCACAGGTGGTGTATTCATTATGGCTGTATTTGGATGCAAAAGAAGCAGAAAGGAAAGGCAGATTTCAGAAGTGGACATCTTCTAAGAGTGTGTTTCAGAACGAGATTTGGATTTCTGGACCATATATTCATTAAAATATAGGCATGACAGACTCCTGGCCAGGAATGGAATGATGCACCTAGCAAAGACTGGGAAGATTATTATTTTGATGTGTTACAAATATAATCAAAAGAGTTTTTTAATGCTTAAAGTGTGGGTAAAAAAAAAAAAGGTGGACCGCAGATTTTAAGACAAGGAAACAAATTTGACCTCAAAGTTATGAGTAGGACTTGGTAGGATGAGATGCCCAACAAGACTGAAGTTCTGGAAAGAATATATCTTATTCAAAAGAAACAGGATGGGAAAAAGAGGGTGGGGTAGTAGATATTAAGAAGATACACTCATGTGAGGCTATTCAGGAAGCAGAGGAAAGAAGAGTGATGAGAAGCACCTAGGTAAAGAGAAATGGAGACAACATCAAGAGTGACATTGTGATGAAAGTATTCAACAGATCACATGGAGAGAAAGAAGAAATAGGCAAGGAATACAGAAGAGATATTATAAACCCTGGTGGTTACACATGGTGTAGCAGTAATGGAAAACTTCAATTATTCATTTGGATCCTTGGGTTTCCTTTCTGTCAAAAACAGGGCAGGTCATCATTCCTTGACTTTTCTTAAGGATAATTTCATCCTGCCATTATAGTGGAACCAAAAACAGGAAATTTATTTTATTGATCCAATTCTCACCATATGAGAGAAACTTGAATAACAGAGATGTGAATAAGGATCTGTAGAACCCCTGTGGCACAACAGTCTTCCTCTGAAGGGATCATGCTCTGTTGAAGAATATGCTACCACACTTGGCACACTTTCTGTGCACACCTATGGATGGGAATATTTGGGAAAGTGACCAGTCCATCTTAGAGTTTATAACAAAGGCAACTAAGTGGCCCGATGGATAAAGTCAGACAGACCTGTTCCAACCCCAAATACTCACTTGCTGTTTGACCCTGGCCAAATCACTTACCTTCTCTCAGACTCAGTTCCCTCATGTGTAAAGTGAGAATAACAGTGCCTACATGTCAGGGTTGTTATGAGGATAAAAAGACATGACATTCGTCACTGCTTCACAAAGCTTCAACCTTATTATCACCAAGAAAGGTAAGAGTTGGTTTGTGAAAACACAAAGGAAAACAATTCTGACAATGAAAGATAAAGGAACATTCTCTAAAGATACCAATGTGGATAAGGTAGCCAGGTAGTGCAGTGGAGAGACTGTAGACCTAAAGTCAGGAAAATCTTAGTACAAATCCTGACACACACTTACTAGCTGCATGACCCTAGAAGAGCCAGGTGCTCTCTCTAAGACTTAGTTTCCTCACCTGTAAAATGGGGATAATAATAAGATCTCTTCCCAAAGAATTGTTGTAAAGATTCAATAAGATCATCTATGCAAATCAAATCTCAAAGAACTTTATAAAAAATAGTTGTTGTTATTATTTCAGGGAATTCAACAACCAACTTAGATTTTTCAAAGACAAGGATGAGTAAAAGAAGCATGTCACAGTTCCATAAGGATGACAGAAGTGATAAAGCCCAGAATGAACAGAGACTGGTGAGGCTAACAAAGGGTAAAAAGAAGGGGTTTTGAAAAATTATATTGTGGAAAAGAGGAGGATTAAAGAAAAGACAACCCCACAACTCAGAGGTTTATATGATGAGGATGACAAGTGACAAGAGAAGATACAGAACTTCTCAATTTTTCTTTTCCTTCGGGTCTTTACTTTTTTTTCTACCAAGAGAATGAATTTTCAAATGAAATGGATAGAATAAATAAATATGGTTAATAGAGACTGAATACACCAGAGAAGTAAGGAGAAAATAAGGGAGCACCTAGACACCTGTGCAAGAAAAACAGACTGAAGAGAGCACACTTCAATTTGCACTCAGAGTCTAGAATATATTTCTACAGAAATCTAAAGAGATAAGGAAGGAATGAGGAAATGACTCTAGATAAGGAGGTAGTACTCACAAAGATTTGGAGTGGAATCATCCTAATTTTGTTTTTTTGAGGGTGATAATAAACTGCTAGATCAGGAGAATGTCTTACATAGTGTTTCCTTAGATTTTAGCAAAGCATTTGATAAAGATTTTCATGCTCTTCCTCTGAAAATGATGGAAATATACAGTTTAGACAATTATATAATTAGCTGGATTTAAAACAAATTGACTGACCATATACAAAGGGTAATTATTGAATGTTCAAAGGCAGCTTGGAAGTAGGCACCGCTGTACTCTGATTACCTCAGCTCACAAATGAGGATTGTATTCCTTCTAGGAGTCATATTTTAGGAGGACATTGAAAAGCTGGAGGCGACTCAAGGGAGGGCAACCAGGATGGTAAGAATAACAAGTCCAAGCCATGTGAGGATGGGTAGAAGGAAAGGGGGAGATTTAGGCAAGAGAACAGAAGACATAACAGAACAGGAGACCTAATAGCTGATTTGAAGTGTTTTGTGTACTTTTACTAGAAAAAGAGAATAACTTTGTTCTATTTTGTTCCAGGGGACAAAATGAAGAGCAATAGATTAAAGTTACAAAGTAACAAACTTAGGGTTAATGCAAGAAAAAAAATTCCCTCAAATTAGGGCTGTCCAAGATTAGAATAGAATGCCACAGCAAAAAGCAGGTCCACCTCATTGAAAGACTGTAGAGGCAAAGACTGAATGACCACAAGGTGAGCACGTTGTAGATGGAATTCTTTTTTAGATTGGGAACAAACAATATGACCACTGAAATCCCTTCAAATTCTGAAATTCTGTGACCACTTCTCAGGGATGTGGGTTGGCCTGAGGTTCCTTCTAACTCTAAGATTCTATCATTGAGTGAGGAGAGAGAATAAAATCTCATGTTACAGTGAGAAACACTTCTGACCTTGGGGAGAAGATATTGTCTAAACTGAACATCTTCTGACGCTGCATGGGGCAGGTTGGTTGGAGCAAGGTCAATGTACCGCTGTATCTCGTGTACCACAGCATTGGTATAAGGCATCTTGTTTCTGTCCTCCATGCAGGGACTTCGATTTCGGCCAATCACACGATCAATTTCTTCATGAAGTTTTCCTGTCACAATACAAATGAAAAATGATCTTAAAAGTAGGAATAAAAACTGCCTTCCCATATTTTCTCTGATTTTTCCACAAGAGTCACAATGATAAATAATGCACTTGAATCTAACATTATGGTAGATAGGTAGATAGATAGATAGATAAACAGATAGACAGACAGATAGACAGAAAGACAGATAGGTGACTGAAAATTCCATTTTAGTGTCTTAAGTCAGCTGAGAATCCCTGGAGGCACCTTTGCCCCATGCCCTCAGTCAGGCTCAAGTTGTCCTTTAAAAATTACAAGCCAAGCAGCATTTGGTTAAGGAAATGAGGAGGAGTCTCAGTCTGGACCTGTTCCAGAACTCAACGTGACCGACCACAGGCCCAAGATAGTTCCCTGAGTAACTATATGAGTGATAGGATTCCAGATGCACCAGCTCCTCCTATGGTCAGGCATGGTAAATAAGCTATCAGGAACCAGTGCTTCTCAACCATTCAGTTCCTGCCAGTTCTGTCACTGGGCTACAGTCTCCATCCTTATCACTATCTCTCTCTTTCTCTCTCTCTCTCTCTCTCTCTCTCTCTCTCTCCCTCTCTCTCTCTCTCTGTATATATACATATATATGTAAATATATATAATATATAATCATATGTTATATTATTATATATTACATATAATTATATATTATATACTTATCTCTAATAATAACTCACAGTTACATACCAACTAATTAAGCAAAGTGGAGGCAGTAGTGGAGGAGGAATAAGTAAACTTGAATGTGTAATACGTAAATATATTAAAATGACAACAGAAAAGTTTCCAAGGAAAGTCTCAAAAGGACCACGAACCCCTCTTATATGGACCAAATTATGGATGTATATTTTCAGCCTGTAATCCCACCTGTTATCTCAGGATGTTTCAGGAGAATCAGGAGTCCATATCTCAGGGTGGTGCTGGTTGTCTCTGTTCCTGCTATAAATAGATCAGCTACCGTGTGGACCAAGTTTTCAATGGTAAATGCAAACTGTGGTTGTTGCTTTTCCTAGGAATAATTTGGGATGATTAATTGAAAAGTAAGGGAGGCAGCAGGGCACGAGGGAAAGCATAACGAATTTGGAAGCAGAGGACCTTGGTTTAAATCTCAGTTCTGATTTTTTTTTTAATTTTTGTGGTGAAGCAATCAGGGTTAAGTGACTTGGCCAAGTTAACACAGCTAGTAAGTGTCTGAGGCTATATTTGAACTCAGATCGTCCTGACTTAAGGCCAGTGCTCTATTTACTGTGCCACTGAGCTGCCCCCAACCCACCACCAGCTCTGATCTTGAACTTGGGCAAGGCATTTAACCTTTTTATGTTTTAGTTTGCTCAATTGTAAAATGAGCGGGTGGGATTCAATGACCTCCAAGATCTCTTGCAGTTCTAAATCTATGATCCAATAAATAAGTTTGAGCAGCACAATCCAAAGCGGAACAAGAAGCTGGCAATTATCAAGGCAGTTTGGCCCTTGCAGACATTACATATGAGAGAGACACAGAGAGAAGCAAGACACAGAGAGAGAGAAAAGGAGAGAAAGACAGAGAGACAGACAGACAGAGAGAGACAGAGAGAGACAACCTGCAATTTCATTGGCACAGGGAAATTTCCAGGTGAAAATCTTCTGTCTACCAAAACAAATCTGCACTTTTCTCAGAAAAACTTAAAGTCACAAGAGAGGTGCCTAGCCCAAGGGCTCTCTAGGGTTAAGTGACTTGCCCAGGATCACATAGACATTTTGTGTCAGAGAGGGGACTTGAACTCAGTTTTGCCTGGTTCTGAGGCCAGCTCTTTTATCTACTACATCAGGGGGGTCAAACTCAGCCCTCAGACCACAAGCAACCAACAGAACTTTGTGTGACTGAAACCAGATTAAAAAGTTATTGGGAAATGTTTAGTAACATAAATAAAGATATAATACAACATAAAGAATGTTAATTTGTGGATTTTCTAAGTTAATGTGGGGTCTTCGAGGATCCATTTCTATTCATGTTTGATATAACTATACTGTATCATAATATCTTGCAAGATATCTATACCTATATAGTATATATCAATCATATCTGTGGATATACACAAGCCGCTAGGTGGTGCAGTGGGTTGAGCGCTGGACCTAGAGTCAGGAAGACTCATCTTCCTGCATTTAAATCTGGCCTCAGACACTTACTGGCTGTGTGACCCTGGATAAGTCACTTAACCCTGTTTGCCTCAGTTTCCTCTTCTGTACAATGAAGTAGAGAAGGAAATGGAAAACCACTCCAGTATCTTTGCCAAGAAAATCCAAAATGGAGTCATGAAGAGTTGGATTCAACTGAAATGACTAAGCAACAAATAAATAAGCCCTGGGTAAATGTAAGCTATTGTATTTTCCTCCTGATTTACTAAGCTAATAAATCCTGTTCCTCTGTATGAGTTTAGTGAGATAAACAGCATTTACTAGTTTAGCAAATAAGGAAGGAAAAAATTTATCAACTATCAACTTACATATGTATATCAATTATTACAAAAAGTATCCATGTGTATTTTCCCATTTTATCCTCATCAAAATACTGTGATGTAGGCAGCCAGTATTATTGTCACCTTATTAATGAGGAAATTGAGATGCTAAATGCATTGCCCTTGACCATGAGATGTTGGTATTGAGGAAAAGTCACCACTGAGATCAGAAACTGAATATATAACAAATACCCAATGGACTAAAGATAATAAAGGTAAAAAAACATAGGAATACCAGGCAGGTGGTAGAGGACATAATTCAAGTTCAAGTCAACTATGGTCTACTCCATACAACCATATGGGTGATGAGAGGGAAAGAAGGATATGGCATTATTAAGATTTTAACACAGGAAACAGAGAGCATTACAAGAGACTACTGTACATAATACTTCTAAAAATCTCTTGCTCTGGTCCACGTATTTGCCCTCTCCAAAATTTCCTCATCCACCAATGGGGTAGGAATCTGTGGGAGAATATACCCTTATGTGCATAGGTTGACGAAGGAAGGATTTTCCTGGTCAGTTGTGCTGCCACATTGCTAAATTAAATGTGTTTTGCTTTGAATTAATGTGTTTTCTGGTTGGTCTGGTAAGAAAACCTTAAGTAGTAACTTCAGATTACCCTTCCTTGCTGTAAGAGGGTCATTAATCTATTTCGGGATGTCCATCAGCATATCTTTTACTTTCTTCCATGTTTCAGGGCTCCATTTACTCCATATGAATTGCATTAGCATATTGCTTTGTTCTAGTTTTGTTCCTAACTTGGTTGATTTTTTTTTTCTTTATGTAACTTTTTAACAGTTTTTCTTCCCTTTGGTTTTGCTCTTTGTTGTTTGTGGATGGGATGGAAAGTGAGGATCCTCTAACTCCATCATCTTGACTGCAAAATCCACCATCCTTCCCCCAAGTACTTACCACAGCAGCCCCTCCATTCCAATCTGGCTGCTCAGATTAAAGTTCCCTATACCCTGCTGTCTTCATAGAGTCTTGAATTGTCCTACCCAGTCTTCACTGCCTAACTCTAGGACCTTCTTCAACACCCAGATAAAAACCTAACCCTTCCACAAGGAAGTTTTATGTTAACCCTCCCCAAATATATTTCTTACTAATTCCAAATTCCTTCATCATTTAAATCTTCAATTTATAATCCATTTTGGCTTTCCTTACACATCCCTGATTAATTATTCTCTTGTCCTTACATGTGTTTCCTTCTGTCTGTTGGGTTAGAGATTCCATTAGGGATAGGACCCTATCTTCTCATTCTTCTGTTTGCCCCATAGTGTGCTCTGAGCACACTTCAACTAATATATGATTACTTACTGCTCTATGTTTGTGAATGTGAGTGTCAGCCTCTAATACACAAGACATTTCAACTATAAGAACTGAGATTCAGACCTACTGCTCACACTCTACCTGTTCCATTTTCATCAGGAAACAGTCAATGAAGTCCCGAGGATTGCTGGGGTCCAGTGTCCTTTGGTGTTCCTTCACTTCTTCCAAAATAAATTCATGTAGAAAATCAAAATTTTTAATTGCTTTGTGGTGAGATCCAGGGAGATAATGCACTAGAGATGGAAAAGAATTGTAGACCTAAAAAGAAGAATTTTATATCATACTTTATTAGAAAAAGAAAGTCCTTCTCTACTCTAGCACTTGGATCATGTTGAGAAGAGGGCTGAATAAGGGTGGGACAAATGCCTTTTGTGAAAAAGTGACTTTCCTCATCATTTCCTATACAAACCCCCGAAAAATCAGTATTCTCCTCCTTGGTTGCCTGAAACTACCTTGGCCTTCACTCTCAATTCTTACTTCCTACAGAAAAGTTCTCTTCCTTTTTCATTATGAAGTCTTCTAAGAGCTCTGCTTGCAATCTTCCATTGGGACAGCTAACTCATTTGCTAACCTGATCCAAATTCAGGCGCTTGAGGGAAAAGTCAGCTTGTCTCTAGTAACAAGAATTTTAACATTCTGTCTTTGTGATCAGTGGGTGAACTACTCCAGGGAGGGGCCTTATAATGTCCCTCAAATCAGAACACATAGGGGTGACCTTCTCTGTCTTTATTCCCTGTCAATGAATAAGAAGATGGGAACGGAACCCAGTGTGACACTGTTGTACATTCCAAAGGAATGCGTGATGAACTCTACCTAGCTCCTTGCAATAGTTTCTTTGAGTTATAGAAAATATATATACTGAGCTCCAAAAGGAGAGGACACCGGCCTCACCTGAATCCACTGGGAACTTAAGATCTTGATGTTCTCAACTAAAAGCTTCATTAAATAAAGAAATTTCTGGTCTTTATATTCAAAATGTTTCTGGAAAATGAAAGAGCAGATTACATTGCAAGGAGCACACCCAAGGATGAAGGTAGGGTCACATGGTAATCCTAAAGGAGAAAGAGAGAGAGAGAGAAAGACTTTAATACTGCAGTTGTGATCAAAAGGAAGGTTTGTCTGCCTTTAGGTACGACCTGACTGTCCTCATTTCCTATCTAGTTTGTATTCCAGCTGATATTTATTTGGTACAACCTGGTGAAAAATAAACCACCCTTTATGAAGCATCTGGTTTGATCCACATAAGAATCCTAAGTGCAAATAGGATAAGTCTCATTTTATAGATGAGGTTGCTGAGACTAAAAAAATTAGCTGATTTATTCCACAATTAGGAAGGATCAAGAAATGAAATTCAACCCAAATTCTCTCCTGGCCCCAAATACAATGCTCTTGCTACCAAACCACATCACTTCTCATTTCTAAATCCCTATTCATCACCTCACCCTAACCAGCTTTTGCTTTCAGACTTCTTCATGTCTATCTTTAAATTATACTTCATTTTATTTCAGTAAGTAATCCCGGGATGGGAGTTGCAGGCACTGAGCTGGAAGTCTTGTTATTCCAAATGCTCTTAGGTTCAGGGTTCTGGACTGTCTAAGGACTGTTGATATCAAGGTGGTGATGCTAGGTTTCCTTGACAGGCATACATTGCCTCTTGTCTTTACCTCAGGGTGCCCCACTGCTATAGCCAGACTGGCCCATCTGCCTTATGAATAGCAATTGACTGGCAATCAGTGGTGATGGCGAGCACCTTCTCCACAGGAATGGTTTCCCAGATAAGAGCTGTGATAGCTGGACTAAAACCAGTGGTCTAGAGATTGCTGCCACCCTTGAGGCCCTTGTACTTATCTACCTATTGGTGGTAGCTAGTCATCAGTTGTTGTTAGTGGTAATGAGAAAGGTGGGTCCCTTCTCCCAACTGATTTCTCCTCTCTATGAGGATTGTGGAGACTGACCAAGAAGTGATTTGGGAGGAGGGGAGGACACTGTTATTCCCAAAATCTTGGGCTCAAGGGCCTGGGCTCTCCATCAGGGTCAGAGGGGCAATGATCATCCAGTTGGAAGTGGTTTCACCAGCCTGAATCATTCAGGTGTTCCCCCTCCCCAAACTACTTTGCATTCATTTTGTTAATATTTTTTCAATATATATGACTGAGCATCTGTGGAAGCAGTTGCTAGTAGTAATGAGAAAGATGGGTCCCTTCTCCACAAGGTAGAGGCAGTGGTCACTGGAGTGAAAGTACTGCTGTTCCCCAGACTCTTGGGTTTGGAGGTCCTGGGCTGTCTCCATCAGGGTCAGAGGGCGGTCAAGATGGTAGTTATATTAAAGAGGCCCAAGGACAGAGTCTTGGAGATATTCACACTTAGGGGACTGAAGGTGGATAGTGATCCAGCAAAAGGATATAGAGAAGCAAAAATCAGGCACGAAGAAGAACCAGTGGAGATATGATAGAGGCGAGGGAGAAGAGAGTATCAATCAGCCAATCCACCAGCAGTCACTAAGCTCTTACAAGGCTCTGTGATAAGCACCAGGGGTACACAGACAAAAGTGAAACAGCCCCTGCTCTTAGAAAGCTTACATTATAATGGGGGAGACAACATCACAGGGGAGTGGCAAAAGTCCCAGATTCCAATGTGGTGGAGTGATGCTGTTCTCAGTGTATTCCTATATTATTCCTGGTGGAATATTCTGGAGTAGGAGAGCACATACAGCTAATTATGACCAACATCTGTTAGTACCCTACTACTGCCCAGTTCCTGACACTCAACACACACAAAGTACACATAGGGGTTGCCTTTTATGGTTTAAAAAGTAGTTATCCCATTGAATTTATGTTATCAGCATCTCCATTCATACCCTCCTGCAGTGCCCTGTGCCCCCCTAACTTTCAGATTTCATAGAAGGATGACAACCCCTGTGCTAGATAGCTTAGATGGTGGAGGAGGAGGAAGCATGAAGGGAAAGAGCTTCTAAGAGATGCTGCTGAGTCAGCTCATTGACTTCCTAGCAATGTTCTCGGTCTACTTCAACTCCTTCTGCTAGTCAGCAAAATATCAAGAAAATCCCTGGACTCCCCCAAATGATCCTAAATCAATACCTTCTCCCCCAGGAATTGTTAACGGTAACAGAACCAGTGCTGCTAGATTCTTGTGAGCTATGCTGCATACGAACAGGAATAAAAACATATAAAGACATCTCCCTAAATGTTCCTCACCATGTTGCCTCCTCACAAGATTAGCATGAACTCATTAGCAGACCTGCACTGCCTCTCATCTCTTCTCTTGCCTCGCTTAAACTCTTCAGGGCTTCTAGGAATGACCACGCCGTCATGGGCATGTTTCCAGGATGGGCCCAAATGTGCAAACATGTTGGTTTCAGACAGGACAGTAAATTCCTTGGACCAACCTGAGTCTGCATAGGGATAGGAAGGATATTTCCAAGGTCCACGGTAACAAAGTAAAGAAACACCAACCTTCTGTTTTCTTTAACTCCTCCACAAGATACTTCGCCTCTTCTTGGATTAGTTCTTCCATGCTCCTCTTCCCCATCCCAAAATTCCTCAGGGTCATGAGGCAAAATCGGCGGAGATGCTTCCATCTCTCTCCATTGCTTATACCAATTCCTAGAAAGGGGAGCAGGAGGAAGAGAAACCTTAGATACCAAGGTTCCATACAGCACATGACAAAAAGTCCATGCCCAAAGGACCTTGACCCACACCCCTTATTTCAGGAGAAGATATTGGGGGGGGGTGTCAGTGTACTTTCTCCTCTATCAATACTGTTTCCTGTCCCATCCCACACATCATTTTCCTTCATCACAGTCATAAATACATCAGCTGGCCCTACACCCACATCCCCCTCCTGGTAATGAAGTGGCCACAAAGAGGGATGCCAGGATAAAGACATATTTCTGAGAAACTGAATGGTTATAGGGTACGTTAGTTTATATCTCTCCATATTTTTAGACAAGGAACTTAAAGGATTATGACGTCTTGAAGTCCTAGTCTTCCTACTTCACCCAGGGACCAAAGAGTGAAAATATCTGTTTCTTGCCTTTTTGTGGGTTACTAGGTGGTGCAGTGGAAAGAGTACCAGACCTGAAGTCAGGAAGATTCATCTTCATGAGTTCAAATCCAGCCTCAGACACTTACTATTTATGTAACACTGGGCAAGTCACTTAACCCTGTTTGTCTCAATTCCTCATCTGTAAAATGATCTGGAGAAGAAAATGGCAAACCACTCCAGTATCTTTGCCAAGAAAACCCCACATTGGGTCACAGAGAGTCAGACACAACTGAAATGAAGAAACAATAAGAGGTATACTCAATAAGAATAGAAAGTTACATAAACTCAGTAGTAATCCCTATATCATGTGGCTTTCCTTAGCTTTCTTTTTTTCCCTTAAGTCTGAAACAATCCTACATAGGATTATTGTTTATGGGGAAATGATTGTTGAGTCAAAACAAAATATAACAATTATACAAAGAACTGTAGTTAATTTGAGCAATGGGAAAGGTGTACACATACCTTTATGATACACACATGATACACACATACACACATAAGTAAAGCTTAACATGGCATATCCTTCTTTCCCTGAATATATCACACCTTCCTACCTTCAGATACCACCCTCTGATTCCAGACATAGGATGAAGACTTCACCTAACTACCCTTACATCAAGAACTATACTTTCATCTGTAATCTTATTTATCGGGATCAAATTCTTCATCCTCTGCTTCAAGATCCTTCCTAAGGGAACTTTAGGAGACAAAGTGACTGGTATTCCTTAGGATGTATTTTAATTCATGTTGGTTTCATTAAATATCTCTCTGAAAAAATAGAAGCTAACACCATGAGGCCTCATAGGATCTGTTGCAAAGTTTAGATACCCAGCAAAGTGCTTCTGCTCTCTCTTTCATTGATGTCAATCTCACAAATTGCATTCACTAGCACATACCCTTGATCTCATAACAAAACTAACTCTACTGCTTAAGAAGCTCCTGTTCTGCCTTAGAATACCCTCAAAAAAAAGAGAAGAAAAAAAGGAAGGAAGAAAAGCAACTCTCCTTCAATGCAGATGAAGAGCTAAAGACAGGGCAAAATGCTGCATGGGAAAATTTAACCTTTCACCATCGTTCTCTATCTGATTTCACTGAATCATAGGCTGTTGTAGTCAAGGGACTTAGAAATTGTCCAGTCCTCTTCTCTCATTTTATACATGAAGAATCTGAGAAAGATTAAATAACTCACCTGAGGTCAGGAATGGTTAAGTCTTAGACTAAGCCTAGGACTCAGGAATCCTGACCAAAATCCTGGATTCTTTCCACCTCAGATCATGAAATAAAATGAAAAGAACAAGATAAACACTACCTTTAACACTCCAACTTCTTTACTCTCTACAGAAATCTCAAACTCATTACATCCAACGTTGAATTCACTGCCTTCCTCACCCAAACCGCCCCTTCTCCTATCCTTCCCTATTTCTTTCAAGGGAACCAGCACCCTTCCAGTCACTCGGGTTTGCAGCCTCAGTGGGATCTTTGATTCTTAACTATTCCCTTACCCTCACATCTAACCAGTTGCCTAATCATTCCTATCTCTACATCAGCTTCTTTTTTTTTTTTTGGAGGGGGGAATGAGGCAATTGGGTTAAGTGACTTGTCTAGGGTCACACAGCTAGTGTCAAGTGTCTGAGGCCAGAATTGAACTCAGGTCCTCCTGACTCCAGGGCCAGTGCTGTATCCACTGTACCACCTAGCTACCCCTAGAGCAGCTTTCACAACCGTTTCCTTCTCTTCACTCATGTATCCACCACTCTAGTCCATGCTTTCATCACTATTTTGCCTGGAATATTGCAATATTCCTGTCTCCAGTCTACTCCCTCCCATTCAGCCTTCACCTAGCCACCAGAGTGACTGGACTGATCAAAGCCACAGTCAGACACATTGTACCCTGATACAGTGATATCACTTTGGTCCTCTTACAGCACGAAAGACAGCAACAGAAGTGATTTTCCTAAAATGATAAGCTGAACATATCATTCTCCTACCCAACAAACTCTGCTTCTGTATTACTTTCAGAACCAAATACATAAACTCCTCTGGTAGACTTTTAAAGGCTTTCACAACATGGCCCCAAACTACTCTTTTAATCTTATTGCAGATTATTCCCCTCCAAGCACACTATGATGAACAGGGCTTTTTGCTGTTCCTCATACATGGCTGTCCTTGGTATTATACCCCATTCTTGTCTCAGTCTCCCAGAATCTTCAGTTCAGCTCGAGTAACACCCTGGAGAATCAGGCCTTAGCTGATCTCTATTGTTGCTAGTGTCCTTGCCTTGCATCTATTGTGTGTGTGTGTGTGTGTGTGTGTGTGTATAATATGTATGTGTATGTTTATATAAATATATATACTATATATGTGTATCTACCCATGTATATGTGTGTGTATGTGTGTGTGTGTGTGTGTGTAGGTGTTGTCTCTTCCCCATCTCATCCAATTGTAAACTCCTAGAGGGCACTGACTATATTCACATTTGTCTTTGCATCTCCAAATACATAATCGAGTGCCTGGCACATAACAGGTGCAAGTCTTCCTTCATCTTACCCCTTCTACAAACTCTATATCCAGTTCCTTGCAGCCAGTCCTCCATTTTCCATTTCTGTACTTTCCCACTAGCTCGTTTCTTCCTCTTTCCCTACCCCCCTGGCTTATAATGTTCTCTTTCTTCTAAGCTTCTTTGGTCTCCTTTAATACTCAGCTTAAATCTCACCTTTTGTAGGAGGCCATTCCTAGCCCCCATAGGCTGCCATGTTGTGCTGCTGTTTTATGTCAAACCTGCAGTCCATTAAGATTTCCCGGATCTTTTTTTCAGATAAACTGCTGTTTAATAAGCAGCTAGGTGGGACAATGGATAGAACACGGTGCCTGCAATCAAAAGATCTGAGTTCAAATCTAGCCTTAGATACTTGCTAGCTGAACTAATCACTTAACCTCTTTTTGTCTCAGTTTCCTCATCTGTAAAATGAAGAGTAATAGTAGCACCCACCTACTGGAGTGGTTGCAAAGATCAAATGAGATAATATTGATAAAGCACTTTGCCCAGTGCCTGGCACATAGTATGTACCATATTTGTTAACTCTTGTTGTTGTTGATTAATTCATTCATTTCCTACCTTGATTTCCTCAAATATCCCTATTACAAGTGTTCTACATTTGCTGCAGCAGAGAAATGGGTTTGCCTTCTAGTCAGGTTATCAGGAGTGGTAATGAAAAACATTATCAGAAACTTTTGCCAGGCTGCAGGCTATAGAATGCCATGGGAGAAGGATTTTCATCCTATTTTAGCTCTAGTAGGCTAAGCAAGGTGACCTATTCCAGAAGTAGCCAGATTATTATAATTTTTAAAACTATTTCAAAAAGTATTGATATGTTTCCTTCATGTGGATTCTGATCCATATTGGCTACACTATGCCTTCCTTGATATCCAAAGGCTCAATATTTTGAATCATCATTATCCTTGCAGACTGAAGTAATTTTGATTTACCTGTGGCAGGTAGCAAATCCCTGAGCACCAGTTTCATTTCACCAATTTTGTGGCAAATTTTCTAATTTTGTACATGTATTGGCTGCTACTCACCCTTTCCTGCTATATACAATAAGAGATACATGGCAAGACAAACGTCTCATTATCCTATACAGTGTGGGGTCTTGTCTCAGTTATTCACTTTCTTACTACTCTTAAGAGAGGTTGATTAGTGAACATTTAGAAAAGGTGGTCACTAAGAGTCAGCATGGGTTCATCAAGACTAGGTCTTGCTAGCCTAATCTGATTTCTATTTTTTAACAGTATTATGAGACTGCTAGATCTAGGCAATGCCTTGACAGACTAGACTCAGATTTCAGAAATGCTCTGACAATGTGTCTTGTGACATATTCATAGAGAAGATGGAGAAGACACTGGTCAGACTACCAGAAGACATGATCCTAGGAATCCTGGGCTACATCAAGTTGTGGTCATTGACCAGTAGGAGGACAATGTTGTAGGTGCTAGACTGCTGACCACTGGATCTCTGAACAAAAAGGAGAAAATTCCAACCAATTGGAAAATGAACTAGAGTAATGGATCTTAGAAGGTAAAAGTCACAGCTGAGGGGTGAATGATTACAGCAAACTGTAAAGACTAGATAGATGGAAGGAGATCGTCCTTCTCCCTCCAAGGCTCTTCCACCCCACAATCATTCTCTTTCTTTCTTTCTTACTTACTTTCTTTCTTTGATTCCTTTCTTCCATTTTTTCTCTCTGCTTTTCTTACTTCCTTTCTTTCCCTCTCTCTATCTTCCTTCTTTTCTCTCTCTTTCTTATTCTTTTCTCTCTCTCCTTTTCTTTCTTTCTTTCCTTTTCTCTCTCTTTCTCTTTTTTTCTTTCTCTGTCTCTATCTCTGTGCATCTCTTTCTCTGTCTGTCTGTCTTTATAATTTTCCCTTAGTCTCTTTCTTACTACTTTAAATGACTATAACATAACACGAATCTATGTAGCTGATACCCTGGAAAAAAGATAAATGGTTTCCACGTGACTCATTACATCCTTCCCAACCTGCCACTGCTTTAGGGGCTTTGGTTTGAAAGTGGGTCTATTTCCACCAATTTCTCAGAATGCTATTCTTTTCCCTTTTCTTTTTTTTTCTTTCTCTTCTCGCTTCAAGCACAAACTTACCAAATCCATTGCTGACTTTCAAAATTGGTACATGTCCTCTGTCAGCAAACATGTCCCCATGATCAATCAGAGCTTCTTTCACTGCCTTGTACCCATGTAACACGATAACACGCTCAACACCCAATTGCAGAGTGAACACTGGGCCGTATTCTTTGGCTAGCTGTGAAAAGAAATGTGGGCAGTAGTGAGAGTGTCATCAATGAAACAGGTGATAAACAGCTTGGATTATTGACCTTATTGGAGAAGTTCTCAATCCATGATCAGCTCCTTCAAAACATTTCTGACATTTATTACAGAAAGGATGATGCACCAAGCCCAAGCCATAGATAGCTCAAAAAACTAAAATTTCACTGTGTGCCTTGGGCTAGAAGCCAGAAGACTGGCTAATAGGGCATAGTTTATGACTCGGTGCTGTATCCCTAACCTTCCTGAGAGGCTGAGCTTATGATTCATACCTAGGTGCCATAGTGGATTCAGCATAGGTCCTGGAACCAAGAAGACCTTACTCAAAATCCAGTTTCAGATACTTAATAGCTATGCAACCCTAGGCAAGTTAATTGACCTCTGCCTCAGTTTCTTCATCTGTAAAATGAGTATAATGATGCCTAATTCTAAGGGTTGTTGTGAGAATAATAAGATTATATTTGCAAAATATTTGGCAACCCTTAAATCACTATATAAATGCTATTTATTATTATTATTATTATTATTAATCTAAAGCTTTGAGCATAGTAGGATTGGGGAATAGGGCCAATGCTGTCAGTGAAATTCTAGAGCAGATAAGGGTCCTCATTCCAATAGAAATCGTGCAAATCAGTATCATTGGATCATGGGCATAGATCCAGAACAGACTTTAGAGAAATTTAAAGCAGAGTTTATTAAACCTTTTATTGTCACAGACTCTTTTAATAGTCTGATGAAGCCTATGTAATCCTCTGAAAAATATATTTAGAATAAAATATATAGGATTACAAAGAAAATCACCTATATTAGAATAAAATAAAGATGTAATTTTTCCCATCCAAGCTCACAGAACCTCTGAAATATATCTACAAGCTCACTGGGAGTTCATGGTCAAAAGATTAAGAATTCCTTTTCTAAACCAATCATAATTTTATAGATGAGGACATTGAGGGCCCAAAGATCACAGTATATCTGGGAAGGATATGGTAAAGATAACAGTTTGACAATCTACCAGGTCAAAATGAGAACATATTTTTGTTTTCACATATTAATCTCACTTAATCTTTTGTCACAACCCTGTGAGGCAGATAGGACATTTACTGATAATGTCTTCATACAGACCTATGAAACTGAGGTCCAGAGAGGTCGACATGACTTGTCCAAGGCACAATGCTCATAAATGTCAGAATCCAGATTTGAACCCAGGCCTTTCTAATTTGAAGTTAAATGCCTCTTCTACTATACCAGGTTACCTTTCAAAGGCTTTAAGATCTACAGGTCTGGAGGCGGAGCCAAGATGGCAGAGTGAAAGACATGACTTGCTTGAGCTCTCCCCAAACCCCTCCAAATACCTGTAAAAAAAAATGACTCTAAACAAATTCTAAAGCAGCAGGACCCACAAAAAGACAGAGTGAAACAAATTTCCAGCTCAAGACAACCTGGAGGGTTGATCGGAAAGGTATATCACGCCGGGCCATGAGAGGAGCACAGTTCGGTGTGGGCATGCAGCGAACCTGGAGCAGGCCTCAGAGGGTTGAATCGCGGGCAGCTGTGGTGATTTCCAGACTTCTCAACCCACGAGTGCCAAAGACAACTTAGAAGGTAAGTGGGAAAAGTCTGTGACTGCGGTGAGAGAAGAAGCTAGGTCTCAGCTGCAAGTCCCTGGGGTGGTGGCTGCCTCCTGAGCTTTTGGCCCACAGACTGAGGGGGAATCCAGTAGCTGATCAGAGGGGAATTGCAGGGATCTCTCTGCTGGTGCAGGATTCTCTTGCTGTGCCCATGCCTGGATTTGGGTCACAGTTCTGAGGGGGGGTCCTGGGGGGAGAAGGAGCACTGGCGTGGTGGAGCTTGTAGTGGTGGTGGAGAGGAAACACCTCACCCCTTATCATACCACCTTGGAAGAACTGAAAATTTACAGGTCCCTAGAAGTATCTCTGAAAACAGCTGTACAATCCCCTGAAGCTTGGGACAGTACATTCTTCACATTGGAGGCAGACTCTTACCTTAACAAAGAGTTGAAAACTCAAGTAATTGGCTGGGATCATGAGTAAGCAGCGCAAAAAGAGTTAGACTATATTATCTTACTTTGGTGACAAAGAAGATCAAAACATACAACCAGAAGAAGACAACAAAGTCAAAGTTCCTACATCCAAAACCTCCAAGAAGAATATGAATCAGTCCCAGGCCTTGGAAGAGCTCAAAAGGGATTTTGAGAAGCAGGTAAGAGAAGCAGAGGAAAAACTGGGAAGAGAAATGAGAGTGATGCAAGAAAATCATGAAAAACAAGTCAACAGCTTGCTAAAGGAGACCCAAAAAAATACTGAAGAAAATAACACCTTAAAAAATAGCCTAACCCAATGGCAAAAGAGGTCCAAAAAGCCAATGAGGAGAAGAATGCCCTAAAAAGCAAAACTGGGCAAATGGAAAAGAAAGTCCAAAAGATTGCTGAAGAAAATACTTCCTTAAAAATTAGAATAGAGCAATTGGAAGCTAGTGACTTTATGAGAAATCAAGACACTGTAAAACAAATCCAGAAGAATGACAAATTAGAAAACAATGTGAAATATCTCATTGGAAAAACAACTGACCTGGAAAATAGATCCAGGAAAGTGAACTTAAAAATTATTGGACTATCTGAAAGCCATGATCAAAAAAAGACCCTAGACATGATCTTTCAAGAAATTATCAAGGAAAACTGTCCTGATATTTTAGAACCAGAAGGCAAAATAGAAATTGAAAGAATCCACCAATCTCCTCCTGAAAGAGATCTCCAAAGGAAAACTCCTAGGAATATTGTAGCCAAATTCCAGAGTTCCCAGGTCAAGGAGAAAATATTACAAGCAGCCAGAAATTCAAGTATTGTGGAAAAACAACCAGGATGACACAAGATTTAGCTGCTTCTACATTAAGGGACCACAGGGCATGGAATATAATATTCCAGAGGGCAAAGGAGATAGGATTACAACCAAGAATCACCTACCCAGCAAAACTGAGTATAATCCTTCAGGGGAAAAAATGGTCATTCAGTGAAATGGAGGACTTTCAAGCATTCTTGATGAAAAGACCAGAGCTGAATAGAAAATTTGACTTTCAAATACAAGACTCAAGTGGAACATGAAGAGGTAAACAGGAAAGAGAAATGATAAGAGACTTATTAAGGTTGAATTGTTTATATTCCTGCATGGAAAGATGATATTTGTAACTCATGAGACCTTTGTCAGTATTAGGGTAGTTGGAGGGGAAAAAATTATATGTACATATATATAGATATAGATAGATAGACAGAGGGCACAGGATGAGTTGAAGATGAAGGGGTCATATCTGGAGAATAAAATTAAGGGATGAGAGAGGATTATACTAGGAGAAGGAGAAAGGGAGAGGTAGAACGGGGTAAATTATCTCACAAAAAAAACAGAAAAGAAAAGGCTCTTACAGTGGAGGGGAAACAGGGGAAGGTGAGAGGGAATTAGTGAATCTTATTCTCATAGGATTTGACTTGAGGAGGGAATAACATACACACTCAATTGGGTAAGGAAATCTGTCTTACCCTACAGGAAAATAGGGGGGATGGGGACAAGAGAGTAGGGGGATGATAGAGAGGAGGGCAGATTGGGAAAGGGGGTAATCAGAAGCAAATACTTCTGAAGAAGGGACAGGGTCAAAAGACAGAATAGAATAAATGGAGGGGCAGGATAGGATTAAGGAAAATAAGAGTTAGTTTTTCACAGCATGTCTATTATGGAAGTGTTTTGCATAACTGCACATGCATAACTTATATTGAATTGCTTGCCTTTTCAATGAGGGTGGGTGGGGAGGGAGGAAGGGAGAAAATTTGGAACCCAAAGTTTTAGAAACACATGTTTAAAAAAAAAGTTTTCACATGCAACTGGGAAATAAGAAATATAGGGAATGGGAAACAGAAATCTATCCTGCCCTACAGGAAAATAGAAGGGGAATGGGATAAGAGAAGGGGGGAGAGATAGAAGGGAAGGCAGACTAGGGGAAGGGGTATTTAGAATGCATGCCATCTTGGGGTGGGGGAGGGGTGAGATGGGGTGAAAATTTGGAACTCAAAATCTTTTGGAAGTAAAAGTTGAAAACTAAAAATAACTAAATTTATTAATAAAAAAAAAAGATCTACAAGTCTGAATTCAGAACTTGCTGGTTCCTCTTGAGGTCAGGCATGCTTTCAGCCAGGCACACTTAAGATTATATGCAAGGACTGGGGCAGCACACAGAGGCTGCCTGAGTGCTCCTGTGAAGGAATGTGCAAGGAAATCATTCTCCACTCTGATCCAACAAATGCTGGAGGCCCCTACCTGTTTGCAGGACCTACTCATTCCTCAGACAACAGAAATAATCAAGCACATTAAACACCCTCTTTCTTCCTATGGTGGGCAATGAGCAATTTAAGTGGGACTGATGGCATTTCTCCTAGAACTTTGCAGTGCCAAGGTGAGTGGTAATAGCAGCAGAAGGCACTTGTAAAATGGACTTTATCCAAACTACAGAAAATTGATAGCACCCAGCTAGTGCTGAAGCAGTGGGCCCTGATGGCCACTACAGTGAATCAAAATATGGTCTGGAAAACCTACAAGGTACCTACCTCCCTACTCTAACATGCTCTACTCATTAGAATATGCTGCTTGAAGATAGTCTCCCAAAACAAACTGACTGCTGCTAGAGTCAGAAATGAAACCAACAGAAGACAGAGATGCTTACTTACCTTGCAAAGTGATTCTGGGATGTTCTTAAGGTCCAACTGCAGTATATTGCCAATAATGGGAAGAGGAACAGGACCAGGTGGAAGCTTTCCTCTTCCAAAGCCCTTTTTCCATGATGAAATGAGAAGCAGACATGAGATACAGAGCAGTAAGCCAAGAGCAATGACCACAGATGGATCCATTGAAACTCTTCCTTACTACTAATGCAATGGAAGGCTTATTCTCCAAAGCTGGGGAGGACTGCAAACCTGAGATCAATCAGCTAATATTTCCTCAAAATCCTGAGTAATCTTCCAATGGATTTTTTACCTTCAAATAAGATAAAGAGAACCCTACCCTTGTTCTATAGTAGTATATTTTAAAGGAGCAGGAGCCATTAAATTTCTTGTTTTAAGTTTTACTGATTCATTTTGCTCCTTATATGCCACAGTTATTTCCCAATATGTCCCTACCTCCCCTTACAATCAATACTTTTAACAAATATTAAACAAAACCAATGATTCTAGGACTTTGGCAGTCTATGGCATATACCACAATACTTTACCACTCTACTGACAGAAAATGTTTCTTAATCTGTTCCAAAATTGAGGACACTTTTAGAATGTAAAAAATTTCATTGACCCATTGTTGTTTTCCTTCCATCTTGAAGACTCCACCACCAACAGGGAAGTGATGCCATGATTTGCAAGTGAATCAGATTTACTTAAGAGAGGATTGTGCAAGGTCACCAGCATCACTTTCTCCTCTGGAACTATCTGGACCCAGTGTCAAGGTACAGATCAGGAGGACTAGAGATGACCCTGTATACAGTGGAGGAACATTAGCCTTTTAAAGCTGTGATCATTCCAAGGTCTCATGGAAAGGACTTGTAAGAACCATTAAACTTTTATTCAAAAAAACTTGACTTGTTGGGGAGGAAGAGGGTAATTGTGGGTTCCTTGTTGGTTACTATCTTCCATATTTACAGTGAGCACCACTGAGGCACTTCATGTACTTCTTTATTTTTAAGCAGATGCCAGCAGACCCTTAAAAACCCAGAATGCATAATTAATTTGTATAAGATCAAAGCAGGCATGGAGTAACAGTGTGGGCCACTTCAAGCGTTCATTGTACATGTATATTATGTGTATGAGAGATGGTTTATATGACCACAAAGGCCAGGCCACAAACTGCTGCTGAATATCTGTAAAATACAAAGCTCACTGTGTTAATGTTCTTCTTGAGTTTTTCTGCTTTACAAAGAAAACATAGTAAGATTTCAATCTCCTTCAATCAGAAAAAGCAAGGAAATCATGACAGCTGAGAAAGCATTGTGGTTTAAAATTTTTTAAATGAGACATCAAAGTTAATATAAAACATTATTTCCTGTTTATCTTTATCTGATTTCCCCCCCAAAATATCCAGTTGTCACTGACTATAGCCACATCCCCAGATACATCTGGAGACAGATTTCATTGACCCATACATTATACTTATACTATTAGTATTCATTAAAAACACATAATTATAAAATAGCTTTTCATAAATTCACCAGTGCTTTTAAGATAGTTTGCATTTTATAAATCAAACTTAACTACAGTTTTGAAAAATAACATATATATATATATGTATCCACAAAACAATATTCTTTCAGTCTACAATGCTTAATTTGGTACATCAAACATTTTTTAAATGATATTGCCTGGGATGCATTTTGATCCATAGGCCACTTGCAATTACTCCATGACATACAACTTGGGAAACAATGACCTACAGTAAACTTTCAATGGAGACCACAATTGATAATAATAACTATTCTTCCTGGAAAAAAATGGTCCCTCAGTTCAAGGGTCATTTTTTTTTGAAAGGGGAAACCTTCTCTTTTTTTATACACACTGCCTTTAAAAAGAGCTAGCTGGAAATAGTAGTCAAGAGAAGAAGAAAAAAGAACTCTTGTCTCAAAATTCTCCTTAATTCTCCTTCATCAGTTTAATGCTGAATCATTTAATGGTGACAGAATGTAGTTATCAAGTGACTATTGCATACATGACAGAGAGAGTAGTAACACTGGCAATTTCTGTAGGTTAGGGGCAGGAATATGCTGGTCAATTGTTTCACACGCAGAATCTCCAGGAAAAAAGTGTAAACATAACCAACTTTACGTTTAAGGCACATTATTAACATTTCTCCTTCATTTTATTAAGGCTAGACAATCAACAACAGAACAACCATTCACACCCTTATCTGTAACATTTGCAATAAAAGCTCACACTGGAAATTTAAGAATCAGATCTCAGGAGATGGTACAAGCTGGATCCAGTATTTGTTCAGTCGTTTCAGTTGTTTCTGACTCTTTGTGGCCCCGTGTCAGGATTTCTTGGCAAAGATACCGGAGTGGTTTTCTGTCTCCTTCTCCAGCTCACTTTACAGATGATGGAACTGAGACAAACAGGGTTAAGTGGCTTTCCCAGAGTCACACAGCTAGTAAGTGTGTGAGGCTGGATTTGAACTTGGGTATTCCTAACACCAGGCCCCGTGCTCCATCCATTGTGCCACCTAGCTGCCCCAGATCCAGCACACTCTTGGTCATACATGACATAACCTCTAAGGTCCTTCCCAGTTCTAAACTTCTATGATTCTCCCTCTGAATTTATTCTCTGATACTTTATAAGAAATTTCAGAGGGAGTACCAGGTGAGGACAAAATGATGGACAGGAAGTAGAGACCACACCATACAAACAGGCACAGAGAAAGAAGACACCTGTTCTGGACTAGCCTTAACTCAAGCCAGTCAAAGGTTTCAGCTTGAGGACCAGAGTGTAACGAGACACTTGCAGGCCATAAAATATTTTAAAAAGAATTTGACTCAGGGGCAGCTAGGTGGCGCAGTGGATAGAGCTCTGGCCTTGGAGTCAAGAGGATGGGAGTTCAAATTCAGTCTCAGACACATGACACTTACTAGCTGTATGACCCTGGGCAAGTCACTTAACCTCAATTGCCTTACCAAAAAAAAAAACAACAAAAAAAAAAACTAAAATAAAAAAGTAAAAAGAATTTGACTTAAACATAAAAACGAATAAATAAGAATACAACATTGATTCAGATGTGCAAGGCACCCCTTCCACTTCCAGATAAGTCACAGCAGCAATGCCCAATGAGAAAGGTCTACTGACTTTCATATCAGTGGGAATTCTATGATGCTTATGACGCCTCCTTGGTTGGGCTTTCTCTGGCAGCCAGGAAGTCATGCCAGTGATTCAGGCCCTGGTCCCCTAGACCTATCAAGTCCTAAAGAGAGCTTCCTGGTTCCTTTAAAGAGAAACTAGAACAAAAGAAACAGAACTATCCCCACGAGAGTCTTTTCTATGAACTTCCAATTCTAGCTCAGTAGTCAACCAAATAGGACATGGTATAGGAACTAAAAACAGTCAGAATACATGCTCATCCTCCAAAATAGAAAGTGGAATCTCCACTCTGCCCAGAAGCAGGTTCACCAAACATCCATATGCTCTCAGGATGGGGTCCTTCTTGGGCAATCCCCCATTACACCTTCCCTACACATCCCTACCCCCATTTATTGTCCTCAACTAATAAGCCATGGGGTGTTCTGAACAGATTGCCCATGTCCTCCATCCGTAACTGTTTCCTAGAATCTCAGAGAAACATAAATACTCTTTCTTGAATTCTTTTCCCCAGTACTATAAAAGAGTCTCAAAACAGTCAATGTGGCCCAGATCTTAAACAGTCCTACAAGTTCTATGGAGAAGTCAAAATTGCCACAAATGTAGTTATATAGATTCAAGAAAGAAAAAACATGTTACAAAGCTTGCTTAGTACTTTACAAGGCCTATGTAGGTGCTGAAAAGGGCCTTGTTCAACCCAGAAGCAAATAATGAAAAGAAAATTTCTGTTTCAGGATGAAACCTAGGAAGTACAGAGCATCCCTGATCATTCACCTCTACTGAAGAGATTTAGGATGTGGGGTAGACTAGTGGTCACCTCCTCATTCTAAGGCTTGGTATTGATAAATCATCTCTAGGCTCTGGGGGACTGAGTCACTTCACCTTCTCCCTCTTCTGCTAAAGTCCAACCCTTTCTCCTCTGAGGTCAGACTCACAGAACCAGTTCAATGTTACAAAATTCAGCAACATAGAACAATCCAAATTTCTCCAGGGAGCCCTAAAATACCTAGAGAATCTAATTAACATCTCCAGATATGCCCTTACACAGAGGGAACACCAAAACTTTCTAGGTCTCTGCCCATAGGACACTCAACACTTTCTCCTGGGATCCCTGCCACAGTAAGAGTGATCTAAGACAGGCAGCCTTGGTTTCAGAAGAACAAGTTGAGGTATATCTCCTGAAAGTATGAAGCTCCCAAGAAAGGGAAGTTAAGTACTTGAAGCTGATTACTTGGGGTTTTTAGGTCAGCAGGCAAACTTTATCTAATGTACTTTCACTCTTTAAGGCTCTCAAAATAAGGCAAAAACTGACAGAAGGAAAATATAAACATTGAGCAGGTAGGCACCAGCACTCTAGGGCAACAGTGTCAATACTTATAAAGGATTCAGAACACAACAGGTATCAGTACTTAGATTTTACAAAAAATAACACCAAGAAACTCTTCTGAGATAATGAAATATTGGCTGCACAATTAGTTTATAATGAAAGAGAAAAGATTCTTAAAGGAAAAGTTAAATGAGTTATAGGAGGAAATAGACAGTAAAAATATACTAGTAGGGAACCTCAACTTTTCCCTCTCAAAGCTAGATAAATCAAACCTAAAAATAAGGAATAAAGAAGTTAAAAATATGAAGAGAATCTTAGAAAAGTTAGATATGATAGAGCTCTGGAGAAAACAGAATGAGAATAGAAAGGAATATACCTCTTTCTCAATTGTACATGGCACCTTCACAAAAATTGGCTATTTATTAGAGCATAAAAACCTCACAATCAAACGCAGAAAAGGGGAAATATTAAATTAATCCCTTTTAGATCATAAGGCAATAAAAATTACTTTCAAAAAAGGACCATGGAAACATAGATTAAAAATTCATGGGAAACTATCAATATAGTTCTTTTTTTCCTTTTTCTTTTTTATTTATTTATTTATTTTTAGTTTTCAACATTCCTTTTACAAGATTTTGAGTTCCAAATTTTCTCTCCATCTCATCCCTCACCCACCCAAAGATGGCATGCATTCCGAATACCCATTCCCCTAATCTGCCCTCCCTTTTATCACACTCCACTCCTTCTCTTACCCCCATCCCCTTCAATTTTCCTATAGGGCAGGATAGATTTCTATACCTCATTTCCTGTATATCTTATTTCCCAGTTGCATGTGAAAACAATTTTTTTTAACATTTGTTTTTAAAACTTTGGGTTCCAAATTT